TCTTGAGTTTAGGACTCGAAGACAACACAGCATTCAAATCATTATCCGAGAGATGAATGCTATTTCTGTTGGCAATGAAAAGCATTTGCAGCGCCGGTAGTCTTGAGATGTGATCCAAACACTCGGTGTCTATCGTGTTATTAGTGCCATAAATCAATAGATACTTAAGTCGTGGACAGTATTGATGACAATCTTTCACCACATTTGGTGTCATTTCCCTTAATATCAGCTTTAAATGCGTTAATCTCTTGCAGTGACGCAACCGTTCCAACATTTGGTCATCGGTGGCCGCAAATAGTGTTAAATGCAATCGTTTTAATCGTGAATAAAATCTCAACAAATCCAATGATATGGTGAGCACCGGTTCGGCGGCACTATATCTGTGCAATAGGAGTGACAATCGTTGCAATTGTTTGCAATTCACGCCAATTGTGCGCAAACACTGGTTCACCGGTGCGGGCATCTGGCCGTCCAGTACTCGATACACTAACCCGAGTGTCAGTTCCCGTAATTGTGTTAATTGTGACAATTGTCCGCACATTTGGCGCATATTCTCGGCGACACTAAAATCACGATAATGTACGGCCAGACTCTGGAGGCACTGATTGTTGGCTACGAATGCCGGCCACCGGTGGTTATCATCGTCTTTATAGCTATATATTGAAAATTTGCTCAAATTCTTGGCCAACAGTTTGCCATCAATGGAGTCAAAGATTATGTTAAATGAATTGATCGATAATTGTGACAATCGGTGACAATGAGTGAGCGCTTCACTGTCTTCGGAGCGATTGTGACGAATTCGTGTGACGAGTGGCCAAAGCGAAGGCATCCATTGGCCGTCCCATCCATTGCAGTAAATTTCCCGCAAATGCCGGCAATTGTCTCGAAATGTGTTCAACACTTCCGGAATGTGTTCTTTATATATAGCGCTTATTCCTCGGCAGTCAATGGTATCAATGATTACACACTTTCTGGCAATTGTGGCCAACAATTGGGTGTCAATTGTCTTCTCATTTATCAGTAATATCTGAATAAATCCATAGTTAAGAGTGATGTCGACAGGACTTCCGAAGACTGTCCTCTGGAACTGTTTGGACACACATTCGTATCGGAAACGGTTTTTAAATGAGAGATAAGACAACAGAAGTGCACACAAATCATCACCGAATCTGTCCATTGAGTTCTTCGCGTAAATCTTTGGCTAAAATGTGAGACAAAAACAATTAATACTCAATAAATAGTCATTTGTTTATGAAATACCTGTTGTGTGTCTTCGTCTTCGCCGTCATATGAGGTCTCGAGTGATGTCTTCTTGTGTTTCATCTGTTGTGTCATATCTTGGGATCAAATGAAGTGATTCTTTGAATGAATAGTATTTTTGTTATGATATGTAAACAAATGCAAAATTACATAACATTTGCGCTGAAAAGGCGTTCAAAACGTATCGAAGTTTTAATACCATTAATAATAACACAATTTCTATGATTACTATATATTATATTGATATCGATTGGGACTAACACTACGTCTATATAGCCATACATAACACACCACTCAATACAAGCGTACATTAAGTATAACCAGTGGTTGCCAAAGTCTCGAATAGGTAGACGTGATTATTTTTTAAACTTGGTAATCTATCATATTAATATATTGATACATTACTCATGATAAATGTTACGTTTTTTGTAATTATAGACTACCCTTTAGTATTTAATATTAATATATAAATAGTACCCCGATCATATATTAATGTTACTTTATATATGAATCATCGTTCATCATAGTATAGATGAGTATGAATTATAATGCAATAACTCCTCATCTGCGGCTCGAGAGGCAATTCTAGAGTATAACTTTTTTGTCACAACTTTTTTGCCCATACTTTCAATGAGTGTTTAATTGTATTTAAATACTTAACAATCAATTAAATTCGACCAAGTTGTTTAAATATGAAATGTTAAGTACCTAGGATGTTTTAAAATAAAATGTATAAATCTTTCATTTGAAATAAAATAACATTTTTAATAAACATTATTAAAAATACAATCATTTGTGTATAAAAATTAATATTAGTATTTACTATGAGATTACAATCAACATCTCATGTAATGTAATTAATTCAATTCAATTTGTGAAAATACAATTAAATTAAATTAATTATTAAAATCATTAAACATTTAATTAATTTTGACGGCAATAAGACTTCGCGTATTTGTCGGCACGGATTTCAATGCCTTTGAGTTTCGGATTTGTGGACAACAGATGCGAGTAATCATAAGATATAAGATCACTAGTAATAGAGTCGTTACGCCGGATGACAAGTGTCTGCAGCGCCGGTAATCTTGAGATGTGAGACAAACACTCGGGAGTGATATCATTAGCTCTAATGGATAGGTATTGAATTCGCGGACAATTAATGTGCAAATTTTTCAACACATTTGCTGTCATTTTAAATAAAATCAGCTCTAAATGCGTTAATCTCTTGCAGTGTCTCAACTGATCCAACAGCAGGTCATCGATGGTGAACATGACCATCAAATTCAGTCGCTTTAATCGGCGATAATATACCAACGAATGCAACGATATCTTCGGTGTGGTTGAGGCGGAATCTGCGGACAATTGAAGCGACAATCGTTTCAATTGTTTGCAATTCACACCAATTGTACGCAAAGAATCGGCCAAAACTGACGACTGGCCGACCGATAACGTAAAACCGAACGTCAATCGCCGTAATTGTGTTAATCGTGACAATTGGCCGCACATTTCGGTCAGACTCTCGGTATGTCTGAACCAACAATACTTAACGGCCAGACTCTGGAGCGACTGATTCGCGGTCACGAATGCAGACCAGTGTTGCTTATAATTGTCGATATAGTCTGAAAGGTAGGACAACTCGAATGAATGCAAATGTTTGGCCAGTAGTATATCGGGCGACACTTCGTAGACATCGATGTCAAACACGTCTTCAATCTTAGTGACCGCCAAATGTGACAATTGGTCGCATTGAGTGAGAGCTTTGCGCAGATTATTCGACCCGATGGGAGTGATTCGGGTGACCAGTGGTCCCAATGTGGCCAAAGTTTGTTCAATGTTTGGCCACAAACCGCAATAAATGTGCTGCAAATGCCGGCAATTGTCTCGAAGCGTATGCAATACTTCGGGAATGTGTTCTTTATATTCCTTTATTCCTCGGCAGTCAATGGTCTCAATGTTTGGACACTTTGTGGCGATTGTGGCCAACGTTTGTGTCGTTACTTTACGCATAAGTTTGTCATCAATAGTAATGTCAACAACACTCTCGAAGACAGTCCTCTGGAACTGTTTGGACACACATTCATTACGGAATCGGTCTTCGAGTGAGAGATAGGATAATATGAGTCCATACATGTCATCACCGAATCTGTCCATTGAGTCCTTCGCGTAAGTCTTTGACAAAAATGTTTAACAAAAACAATGAAAACTCAATAAACAGTGAATTGTTTGTGAAATACCTGTTGTCTGTTGTCTTCATTGCCGTCATCTGTGGTCTCGAGTGATGCCATCATTTGTGTCAACTGTTGGGCCATATCTAAGAATATCTTGGGATCAAATGAAGTGATTGTTTGAATGAATCGTATTTTTGTCACAAAATGTGATAACATTTACATTCAATGAAAACAACACAAAGTGTTGACAACGAGTGAGACATCTATTGACACATATTTTCATTAATTTTGGTAAAACTTTTTGCCCACACTTTCAACGAGTGTTTAATAATTAATAACTGTATTAATCGTATTTCAATTGAATTAATATTTATTAAAAATTAAACAATTATTTGTATAAAATTATTAAACAATTAAACTATTTCTGCGACAAAAGCTTTTTCTGTTAAAGTTTTCACTGATTTGAATGCACTTTAGTTTAGGACTTCTGGACAACAGATCCGAGTATTCATTATCATTAAGACCAATGTCTTGACGGCAGTGAATGACAAGCGTTTGCAGCGCCGGTAGTCTCGGGATGTGATCCAAACACTGGCCGCCGAACTCATTAAACCTAATGTATAGGTATTGAAGTCGCGGCCAATAATTACCGCAATTATTGTCCAGCAATTGATCGACAGATGTCTTATCCTTCTTCGTGTGTAACCAAAGTGTTAAATGCGTTAATCGGTGGCAGAGTTTCAGCGATTCCAGTAATCTCTGGCCGAACACCGGATCGAGTGTTAAATGCAATCGTTTTAATCGCCGATAATATTTCAACGCATCGATTGGTTGGCCATCGAGTGGTTGGCCTTCGAGTGGTTCGTCTCTCATA